ATTTGGACTGCTAGTTGTACAGATTATGGATTGTAGCATAGATTGTAGTCACATGGCTGAAAAGGACTTTTTATTAGAAAGACATAAAAATAAAGTTACATCTTCAAAATGAGATTTATATTGTTGCAAGGAACATAAGTTACTGAAATGCTTCCAAGTTCTAATGAAATATTTTTATTGTATAGTAATTGCTAAATAAAATGAGAGTAAATTTTTCAACAGATTATTAAGTAGAGATTAATGCTAAATTTGTGCAGTAGAAACCTGATTGCTTCTATAATGGGGAAAAGTTAATATTTTAAACCAAGGCTAAAGGTTGACAGGAGATAAATTGAATTTGTTTGCAAAAAGAAATTTGTTTCTTTAAGTGAAAATTGAGGTCAGCAGGTCAGAGCTTTCTTTGCTTCTAGATGAATGAAATGAATTGAATAATGCCACTGTTAGATAGCAATATGTAAGCTAACGACAAAACAGTACATTAGAAATTTGGACATGATAGATCAATGATATTATGATACTTTATGCTGGTTATTCTATGCACATCATTCATCTTTGAAAAATAATATATAAAATAAATATAAATTATGGTACTATTTTTTAAAATTCCTTTTACTCATTGTTTCCATTTTGTTTTACATAACTGAGTTTTATTATTAATTGGAGGTGAAAGAACACCGAGAGCTATTTTCATTGGGTCAAATCTATCAAAGTTCAGATAGGGCAGGCCATGCAATCCCTGCAATCCAAGAGGAAGGTGGATATACAACAAACAAGTAAAAACTAGAGTCCAAGAATCAGTAAAGCTAAAGCATTTCTTAACCTTATTGGTTTTAGTATATGTTTCATTCTGTGTTGGACATGACAGAACCAGCATTGTCCTAAATGAGTGCAGTGATGTTGGTAAAGAAGTTCTAAAATAGTGTGAAAACGCTATCTAAATTTGTCAGCAGCCCACAACATCACATGTGTACTGTCTGTGTCAAATATATTTGTGCTGCATTTACAAAGCACTCCTATAAATCTTACATCCTGCTAGCAATTTCCCATTGACCTTAGTTTCAACAAAGCAGCTGTATCATGTACCTTCAGGTCACTATGGCCTTTTTCTTTTTTTTCTTTTTTTTTACAAAATTCCTCTTTCCATTACCCAACTTGATTACTGCTGTTATTTTTCAGATGTTGGCTGAGCAGAAATTGTTTGAGAGAGCTTCGCTGTAGTCATGCCTGGACATTCTATAATTCTTGATTAAATACATTCCCACACGTCATTTTAGATTATGATATGTACATATTTACCCATAAAGATGTTGTTTCTACAGAGTAGCAATGTTACATATTCACCAACCAAGAGTCAATTTTTCAATCACATTCATTGATTTTACAACTATTGGTAGATAGCATTAGTAATTTTGGAATAGAAAAAAATGTTTTGCATTTATCCAGAAGGTTTCTGAAATGGCTTATATTTTGTGCCTCAAGATATTTTGCACTTCTTCATTTTCTTTCATCTACTCTTAATTCTCACTTTTAAATTAAATTTACATATAACACACAGGTGTGTGTGTGTGTGTATGTATGTATGTGTATATATGTGTGTGTGTGTATGTATGTATGTGTACATATATATATATATATATATATATANATATATATATATACTAAAAGGAGGCTGTTACGTGTAAAAATTATTATGTTTAATAAGATGCAGCAATAATATTTTTATGCTGTAAACTAACATCAGAACAATTTTTTTTCAAATTGCTTCTTTGCTTGTTTATAGCTTTGAATCTCAGAAATTGAAATTTCAAATTGTGTGAATGGAATTTTCTAAATTAGCTGCAAACCATTTGTCAACAGCAAAAATTTCATCACACTTAGTTAAGATTTTATGATTATTTCAATTGAGATGTATAATTAAGAGTGATCTGGAGTATTTCCTCAAGGATCAGTTCTCCATTCCTTTTCCTCATATCGTCTTAAGGGTGGGGGGGAACTGGGAAACCCAATCACTAATTGCCTCTATTCAACAAACTTGTTTAAAGCTAGATGCCTAAATCATGTACATGCTTACACAAAGCTAACGTTGGGCATTATAGTGAATATGCCTTAGTATTTGATAGGGCAGGATCAAAAATATTGAAACATAATTCCTGAATTACATTGGAGCATTTGTAAGGACTGATTCATGCTTGTGCATTTGTGGGTTACCAATTTTTTTATTACTGGCTCGGGTGGGTGGGCAGCGTCTCTTGCTGCCACTACTACAGGTTCGCCCGATCCGGGCCGAACCAGCAGCAACCCACCTTTGCTTGTATATAGTATAATTATCATCAGAAAACAGTAGGCACATACTCTGGGTTGTATTTTGTAACAAAAGGAAAATACAGATTCAAGTTCACTTTACATCTTGGTGATTTCATGAACACATCCATGAGGTTTATGGGAGTATTTTGTCATCGTCTATCTCCCATTTAGCCTATAGCCCTAGTGTAGTATTTCTTGATGCTGTCAAGTATCATTCAAATATTAGCCAGCTGCAACCATGCTTGATATTTGAGGGGATTCGACAAGTGTTCATACATCAAGAGTTTACAGTTTGTTACTAAAATTTGGGTATGTAATTGTGCATTTTTTTTCTTTTTGTTCTAAATTAAACTATTCATTGTCCTTAAGCCATCTTTCTGGAAATATATTAGAGGTAACATATTCTATCATATACTGTTTGTAACCTTAATCCAAGTAAAAGCAATATGAAAAAAATACTTTGCAAATACATATTGCAATTTAATAATTACATTTTATTTAGTTGAGAATTTTTTTAAAATAAGGTACACTGGATTTTAATGACATTTTCATGGATTGTCAATGAATTAATTTCCATTTATACTATTTTTTAATTACTATTTTTTTAAAAAACAGAGCAGCTGTAATATTGTAACACTGTCCAAATGTATTGAACTATAAATCCCATGAACAACAATTTAAGAGTCTGTTACATGGGGCACAGGATGGCATACAACCCGGCGGGGAAGTGACACCTTGACGATCTCCCCCACCACCGCTGCGTTCTTAACTTTTAATTTTTTCATCTTTCTTTTTCATCTAGCTCCCATTTTATTGATGTATTGTATTTTTATATGATTTTTATGCTTTTATCTGTAAAGCATCCAGAATCTCACTGAGAATGAGCTAGGCAGTATCTAAATTTGATGAAGAAATAAAGTGATTAAAGTTCAAGTTAAAATAAAATAAAGACCAAGAAACAGATTGTTAGAAAGCTGTTTTTTATTATTTATATTATTATTATTTATATACTTTATTCATTAAACATGAAACTCGGCCAACTGAACATTCAAAAATGCATCCCAAATACCATTGACAGGTGTTAATGGTTGATATGGTTTGCTGCCAGCGTCCTAGGAATCAACAAAGTACCTTCTTAAAATATAAGATGTTCCGAGTTGCGCAGTTTTTTGCAGTTCTGCTGGTGTTATTGCAGGAAGCTTCAATTTGTTGATGTA